TTGTGTATGTGCTACAGGGAAGACATGCAGGAGTAAGAAGATAAGCATGCATTGTAAACCAGAAAGGAAACAAGTAGTTCAGCGAGCACCAGAACTAGTGATGTTTAATTTCTTACAGATTTATGTCTTACAGTTGATTGATTCTGGTAATGTGCAGGTCTCAACTGAAACTTGTGACTAGAGGAAAAGGAAGTGGTTTATAAAGGCCAATCTTATCTGGAGTTATTCTTACATGGAATGTGGCATGAAGCTGATATTGAAACTTTCCCTCAGGGAAAACAGTGACAGATGATTATTATTATTGTTGTTGTTATTATCCACCAGCCACTTGTTTCCGTGAAATTTGTGAGTACTTAATGTATTTGAAAACTTTTCTCTGCTGTCAAATTTAAAGAAAATCCATCTACAGGCTTGAAAGTCCTTGGTGAATCATACATGGGCCTCAGTTTCTTGGGATACTGGGCTGAATGCAAAAACTCACACGAAGGGACTGAATGACAGTGGCAGTGATGCTGTTGGAGTACTGCATGAATTCTCTGGATTTTTACATAGGTGAAGGCATACCCTTTCATTAGTGCTAGATGTAAGCTTATACAAATTAATAGAGTAACTTGTTGGTATTAGAGACTTACTATATGCCTAATTTTATGTGGCTAGTTATATCTGAAATTCTGGTGGTTGATGGTTTTTTTGTTTGATTTTTTGGGGTGGGGTTTTTTATGAAATAATCCTAGCTTTTTATATCACTGCCTGTAGATCTATCAAAATGCTTTCCCTTGTTACTTTAAGGAGAAAATAGAATTTTTTTAGTTCTTTTAGGTGAAAAATGATTAAGAGAAGAGTTAACAGTTTTTCAAATAATAGGGCATTCATAACCGATAATGAATGTGCAAGAAAGATGTCCAAACATAAAATCAAAATATCTGATTTTGTTACATGCAGAGAAGTTTCTTTAGTAGGAAGCAGATTCTATGTTTATTGAAAAGCATGAAATAGATCAGTTGGTTAGAGAAAAAGCACAGCTGTGCCTGTTTGTCAGATGAAAAGTGATGGCACTGCTTGTTGTGACAGAATGATTTGAATGTAGAGAGTTTAACTTTTAATTTAGAGTTCTAGTGATTTGAAATATCAGCCACCAAGACTGCCTGATAAACCAGTAATTGCATTAAGAAGCAGCCCTGAAGGAAACTCAAAGCAGACAAATCTAGGTTTCCCTGGAAGAACTTGCTAATGTTCTACGTGTTCACTTTGAATGCAAATGTTTGTTGACTGTGTTGAGAACACAAGTTGAAATGGCACTGAACTGCAGGCAAACGGAAATAAAGTTAAAATGTCAGTAAAATCACTTCTTCAGTTCAGAATTCTATTTGACTATATACTATGTGATCACGGGCTGAATAGTTTGCTTACATTTCTGGACCATAGTGATATCTTATGAAATTAAAAATAACTACCCTTTAAGAAAAGTGTGGGGTGTTTTTTTTTTTTTACTCAAATATTTGAAGCATTTGTGTCTGTTTGAAAGGTGTTTCACACAGGGATTGTGAAATAGCAAGCTGGTGCATAAAAAATCTAATGGAAATACTGCCATGTGTCAGTGTGATAGTTGGGATGGTTCTGCTTTAATAGTCCAGTATGTGATACTCAGTTTTAGTGAACTTCCGAAGCAGTTCTCTCTTCAAAACACAATTGGCCTGGGGTCAGGAATTGAATGAATTCACATTAAATTTTGATCATGTAGTGAAGGAAAGGGAAACATCTATGCTTTCTGTTTTCATTTACTTACATTTATATATTATTTGTGCTAACTGTATTATTTAAAAATACCTTTAATTTAAATTTATTTTGAAAATGCTTTCATCATCCTCTTGCACCTATACAATACCTGTAACTTTTTTTTGGTCTACCATTTTTAAAAATGAACTATTTCTGTTCAGTAAGACTTGAAAAGGACATGCAGGGAGGCTGAGCCTTTTATGAAGGAGGAACTCTCGTTCAGTTAATGTGGTTTAGCCCCTACTGGTGAGGCAAATCAGAGGAATGGAGCCAAGCCTAAGCTAATACGTTTTACTAAACTCATGAAGTTGGGCTCCTTACTGTCAGTACCAGAAGGGTGTAAGGAATGGCATACCAAACCAGGAAAGAAGAGAAGCAGAGCAGGAATGGCAATAGTTTTGAGGAACTGGGTAGCAGAAAAAAAGGAAGGAAAGAAAGAAAACAGCAGCATATGCAATGAGAAATATTTTTATTAAAATTAATAAAGATAACTTTCACGCATTGATCTGTTTTAAAGTAGCTGTAATCATGATGATACAGCAATGGGAACTGTTGCAAATCGAACTTAAAGAAAGGGATTGAGAGGCTAACTGAGCAAAAGCAGATTTATGGCTTGTGTTTTCTTTTTAAACCCATGAAAACAAATGTTTACTGCCATGGTAATACTCTATGTATGGTGTAACCAGCACAGTCCTTGTTGTCTGTGAAGATACTAACTTGCTGCTTCTTTTAGGATTAAGAAATGTTTTTGTAAACTACAGGACACTCATTCTAGAGTACTATCCATTGCACCAATAACATTTTTTCTTCCTGCAACTGTTGCGAAAAGCAAATAAAAAGAAAAGGCAAATAACTGTGCGTTGATGTCCATGAAAAATGAACAATTACTCTGCGTATCAATAGGGCTGCATGAGTCTTATTGACGCTACATAAATGAAGGGAATACACTCATGGTGTTTTTTTATCTCGGTAAGTGTAGAACAGTAGGAATTTCACAGTGTTGTATCTTGTATCATAGTGGAGACAAAATCAGGGTTATAGTATGTGAGACAGTTTCTAATTAAGCTCTTCCTTGGTTAATATTAAAAAAAAAATCAAATGTGAGGGAAAGGGAGGAAAAGAGCAGACTTTAGTGCAGCATTTCCTAATTTTCTGACTGTAGGATTGAGCATTTTGAACTTTCCTTCCCTTCTTGTTCTTCCCTTCCTGTTCTGGAAGAATTAGAAAGTAAGATGTTACTTTGTTGCATACAATGGTATTAATCTTACCAAAATATCGTGTAAGGGAATTTGCCATAGTTTAGGTCTTATGGGGGATGGATGGGTAGATGGGATGGTGGTGGTGTGGTGCATAGAAATTTGTTTGAACATGAAAGTTTTGTGTGTCAGGTCTAGTGTGTGAAACTTTTCTCAAAGTCATCTGCCAAAGAGAAAATACTAGTCTCTGTTGTCAGTTACCTGTGTCAAACCCAAATACTGGCCCTGGTCCTATAACAGCAACAAATTCTCTACATTACGGTCCCAGAATCTTAACTGTAAAGCAACGATAGAAATGTCGCACCTGAAACGACATCTAGCTGAGACATAAAATTACTACAAGACTCACTAAGACCATGATCACATCAGTTCAAAAAGACCCGTAAAACATCGCTAGCTTTAAAGTGATGTCAAATGCAGTTTTACTTTTCATGTGACCTCTCCTCTCAGGCAATCTTACAAGAAAGGTGTCTCTTCTGTGGAAGAGCCAAGTCAGGTGAAGGAGTGAGTTGAGCAAATGACTGTTGGTATTTTTGGTTATGACACTGTTCCTGCTCTAAGCCATGTTTTTGTGTTAGATTTCTGTAGTGGCCTAACAACACATTTGTTTGTTAACAAGCCTGAGCAGAGCGAGTGAGAATCTCAAGTGCACCTTTGGAGACGTGAAGATGATGGCTCACGAGCTTCTCACAAGAGTTCTTGCTACAAATTTCTTTAAGTTAGCTTTCTAATATTATCTGCCATGTTTTCTTCTATGGTCTTTTACTTCTGCACTGTAGTGAGCTGAGTTTGTCCTCGCAATTGCTGTCTTATTTTAGCTCCTGTCTTGGCAGTTGCCTGAACCATAGAATGTGGAGAGAAGTGTTCTTTGTTTCTTGTTTGTTATTCAGAATTGGTACTGTTTGCAGTCTTTTGTTGCTAAACTCACCATAATACTTAATAGTTTGTCTAGTAAAAATTCTGATGTGCTGACAAGAATTTTGGCCTGTTTGTTTATTTTAACTTTAATCTTTGTAGTAAGAACTTTGTAGTTCTTAACAAGATGCTAAATAAGTAATGCTAAAAAGCACTAGGCTGTATTGCTGACAGTGTTAAAAGTGTAGAGCAGTCTTCTGCTATGCTCCTGGCATAAGTTTTTAGGACAACCTGACTTTCCCAGGTAGGTATTGCAGTTGGACTCAATGATCTTAAAGGTCTTTCCCAACTAAAATGATTCTATGGTTCTATGTATTAAAAATATTTTACTACTTTTGAAGTAGAAAAGTGGAATCAAAACTAACATGGAATAATCAAAATTCCATTAGGTGAATCTGTAACGACATTTTACTTGATATACTCTGTAGATGAAACACCACAATGCTCTTAGAGCTTTGCATATGTATATATAGCAAAGGCTTATGTAGTTAGTTTGCTAGACAGTGGAAATTAAGGTTTCTAATTCCAGGTCTAAGCTTTAGAAAGTTTTTCTTCTAACATCTGTATCTTATTCCAACAAATAGGATAGCAAATCGTCAAGATTTCTCCTTTCTGTAATATTTTGGGCAGACAAGATTTCCGTTTCCAAGGCTAGAAAACTTGATTTCTCTTCACACTGTTGCTAGAAATGATCTTGTCCATCCTCCCAGTCTTATTACCTATAAAATTAAATGAGATATTGAACAAGTAAGCCATCAAATACCCGAAAGTGTTAAGTCTGCCAAAGGCAGAAGTTAGAGGGATGAGGCAGTTCAGCAACTGACTTGGTGGTTTTCTGAGGACACTGTCCCCAGGAGGAGCTGTGTTAGACCTTTTGGGTTTTCACCCCAAAGTTTGAGCTGCAGATGAATTGGTGCTTGAAGTCGGATGCCATTATTAGTCATATTTTTTTGAGGTACTATTCAGCCCTGCTGCCATCTGCAGTTACAACATTTGTCCTGAAATGACACTGTAGTGCGTATATTTATGTAATGTTGTTTGTTTGTTTTTCAGACACATGATGAACCCACTGATGCAAGATACAACTAGCTAAACAGCTATAAAATGCCCAAATTTGGGTCTACAAAAACAGTTCAATTTGAAAATTCTGACAGTGATAGCACCATGGTGGAAAAAACAACTGCAAGAAAGGTAACAAAATTATATTAATGTCCATTTAACTTCAGTGAAATGAAAAGCATGTGTTCTGTCACGATTGTTGTTACCGTAATGGGAAGGAATAAATAAGAATCTGTATTCTGATATCTTGAGTGCAGGAAAAAAAAGTAAGTTTTTACATGGCTTTAACTATAAATCGAACGAGGGAACAGAATTTATGCCTTTTTTTGTACCATGAAACTTAATTCAAAAGGAAGCTGGATGCATTTTTATTTGATGTAAGTTAGCACATAGTTTTCGTATCTTACATCATATGAGGTCTTTATACACTCACAAGAACAATGATTCATATTTTATTCAATTTTACAGTGTCTTGCTCTCTGTAACAACAAATGAAGTATTTCTGAAGGCCTGTGACAGAGCACAGACCAATGAACAAACATAAGTTTCTTATATTCCTTTTGAACACGGGGACTTGGTCCCTCTGTTAGGAGGACTGGGAAGCCAAATGCTACAGAATGGTTATACGAGAGAGTCCGCTTCAAAAACTGTACAATCTATTTTTGATTGGAGAATGAAGGAGTATGCAAGATTCAGTAATACTGAAGGGTGGTTTGTTGTTTATAAATGTGGAGTATTCTATTTTCAAACTTCTGGAGCTGAGTTGCAAATAACCTAGTTCTCTGTTTTGTCTGCCTAGTACGCTTGTACAACAAATGAGTTTATCTGCAGTTCTAATGAATAACAAAAGATAGAATAATCATCTGTGTTGTCAATGATGAGTTGTATATTGCCCCAAGGAGAGAGAATCCATTTATCTCCCAAGTGATGTTTAAAACTGTGTTCTCTGGACAAGAAGATGGTGTGCGTGGTCATACTTACTATTTTGTTGAAGTCTGTATTCTCTGTAAGACCACTTAATGAATGGATGTTAGACAGGGAGAGATGAAATAATAGGAAAAGATTAGAAGATCCAGCATCTGCTTCAAACTGTTTGTCTTTGAAAGCATTCATGGAAAACATTAGTTTTAGTCTATTCCCAGTTTGTTTTATGCGTCCCAGTAAAGTGAGGCAAAGGTAGTTTCTGCTAGGTATGTTGAGCTACTTCAATAAGACGAGGAAGATAACAGAGTAAAATGGGGAAAGGAAATGGGCTTACTAGTAAAGGAATGAAAAAATGTTGGTTTTTTGTTGTTGTTGTTTTGTTCTGGTCCTTGTTTGGGGTATGGTAAAGTTAATTGAAGTGTCATTCAGCACTGGGAATAAGGGAGGGTAAACTTGGGCTTACAAGCAGCAAGAATAGGAAGGCTATTGCAATGAAGTTTTGTGGTATTCAGTACTGCTTTTTTATTTATATACTTGTATATAAGCTACATTTTGTAAAGATTTTCAGGTTATTTATTTAGCAAATATTTTCTGACTTTATAAACTCTTGTTATCTTGACGCTTCAGTATTTCTGAAAAAAACTTTCTACACAGGAAAATCATGAAGACATAATAAATAGCTGCTCACGCTAGGAAAACCAACTTCTGTAATTTTTTTCCCCAAGATTTATTTGTGTTTTTTAATTTTAAAAAAATCTATAACAGAATAAAATGAATTTTCATCTTTTGTTCACTTTCATCAAAGCAAAAATAGTGGGTTTGCTAGAATGTGTCAAAATGTTTCCTTTTCTCTGTTTCTCTGCTAAAAGTATGGCTTGAAACGCTTGGAATGCATTTGTTTGTAGATTTGAATGTATAGAAATAGATTATCATATTTTTATAGTTCAGTTTTCTTCCTTCGTAGGCTTTGAACTTTACATACAAATTGCTCTGCAATCTGAGTTTAAAAAAAAAATAATCAAAATAAAGAGTTTACTTCTGAGGCCCTTTTTCCTTCTCCACTCTCCACCTCTGACTCTCCCTCACCTCCTCTCCCTGTTGCTTGCTACCATAGTAGAAAATGGTGCTCGTTTCCAGAGTGGCTGTTGAATCTGCAGTTACTGCCAAAGGATCTGCCTTAGCAGTGATCCTTCTGCTCAGTTCAGTATTCACTGGTTGTCTTAACGCCTTCCTCTCCAGTAATTTCCCACCTCTGATCTACTGGTAATGGTAGCAGTTATGTCTGCTGGGCTATTTAATCCCCCTACCTTGCAATTCCTGCAAAGTTAGCTGATTTTCTGAAAGAGATATGTGTAGCTCTCTTTCACCAGAAGAAAGTATGAATCTATATGAAAATATGAATAACTTTCTTTAGGAAACGGAACAGTGAACATGGTGTGATTTATTTCACCACCAGGAAATACAGCAAATTTTAATTTGGTCTAGAAAGGAGTAAATTAACATTCTGGTTTTAATGGTCACATAAAACCTTTTTATTGTCGTACTGGTTTGGCTGGAGGTTTGTCCTTAGGTGGCTGCCCTAACAAGAAAATGCTTGTTGTTGAGACTGATCACCAGTACAAGAATTAGAAGTATGGACAAATGTGCTAGGTTCAGATTCTACCTTGCCTGGTATTCGAGGTTAAGATGCCCATGAAGGCATGATTACTTAGAGCATTAAAATCTAGAGGAAGATGAACGTTTGACCAAGGACATATGTCTGGAAACACAGTGGTGGACTAATTAGATTGATATGGGATAGTAAACTGATAAAGTGCTTGCCCTGTTGTGTTCAGTCTTGCTCACTATCCACCTTGGCACAATATATAATGTGAGATTAGAATAATGTAGGATTTGGTTGGAGGATTGTGTGGTATAAACTGATATATGTAATATTGAAAATGTGAGATCCTAAATAAAATTACAGAATTATTTAAGTGGTGCAGTTAATATTCCTGTATTCAGATTTTAAGCATAATAAATACAGTTTGGTTGCTGTTGTCATTTTTTGAGAAAATTGAATACATGGTTAAGATGTTAAATAGTCACTTAATTAGTCACATCAACTGTTCTCTAACACATGGATAAGTAATTGTCAGCACTGTTTAGCTGGCCCTTGAATAATCTGCAATCTTTTCCCTTGTTTTAGAAAAAATAGACAAAGTATTGCCAAAATGTAATAATTTTAATTCAGCCTAGAAAATGATTTAAAATTCCACAGGCAATATGATAAAAGTAAAATTGAAGTTTGAACAACATAAAATAATGAAGGCAAATCTATATTACGGACACAGAAATAAAACTCTGAAGTGAAGATTGACCAGGACAAGTCAACAGTGATAGTTTTAAATGAAATATCTTCAGGAAGTAGTGGAAATTTCTGTAAAGCAAATTGATTTACATATTGAGTTTTCTCAATATGTAAATATTTGCAACCATGAATTTAAAAACAATAGTCTTTGAAGCATCAGAACTTCTTATGGAAGAGTAATGGATTCATTAACCTAATGTAATTGATGTAAGGAAGTACTGATGCTGCAGGTGAAAGGGATACTATGGAAAAACTTTTGCTTTAGTGGCATTTTGATGTGGAAGTGTCTTGATTAATCTGGAAAATACCTCTTGTCTGCACACTTTTCTCAGTGTTGTGTGACCAGTGAGTCACTGTTCACTGTGCCATCAGAGATGCCCGTGTCTTTTAGTAGCATGAAAAAAACCCTGAGGTTGTCAACATTCAGATAATTGCCGTGGTCCTTAGTACAAAAAATGCATTCTAATTGTATTTTTCGCATAGTTTAGGCTTTTTATTTTTTCTGGAGAGTAGTACTGTCAGACTACTTGTGCACTTTGCTATGTAAACTTGCTCTTACTTGCTTCTGTAATGGCCCAAATACATGGTGTAAGACTATTTCAATGGTTAATATGTTAAGATAAAAGAAAAAACATTTGCAGGATTTGTTTTTCCTAGTTGATACCATGTTTAGCTCTTATTGGTTGTGTGCTCTCAGCTGTTGACTAAGGAATGTAGTAAAGTTACTGTTGTTATGAGACAATCTTTCATATTTGTCCAGTGGAAGTTAATGCTTATTATGCTGTTCTAGCAACCAGTAAATAGCTATGTGAATCAGCTATGTGTTCAGGTCTTCTGAGAGCTTTGAAAAAATGACATTAAAAATAACATTCC